TGACAAGGAGTGGAATTACTCCCTCAGGTATACAAATTAGTTTTGGTGGTCCTAATTATTTGACTGGAACATCCTCCCTCACGAAGGATTCAACCCATGTTTGCATGTGAGGTCAATAAATAAACAAATAACATGTATACTAAAAATTCAAATGAATAAGAGATTTGATTCATTGACTGTTCAAGGTCTAACTCTCAAATTACGATAAAACATTCAAATATAAATCAATTGACAATGAAAAAAGTGATACTTTAATTATATAAATTGGACGTGGATACAAACTCTCTTAATGAGAGCAACCCACTATATCTCTACGGCCATGGGTTACACATGGTCTTGTGCATGATGAAGAGTTGGGGTAGATATACTGCTAAGAGAGTATAAGAAGAAGGAAAATTCGTTTGTATCTAATTGGAGACCTGCTTCATGATAGTCGATGAATGGAAAATTAATGATTACAACGAACATATATCCAAATTAGGTACCATACCATTGTTCGACAAATAATTAGGCAATGATTGGTAACATGTTTGAGTATAATAACTACTTTCCCGATTGTTTTTTTATTGATTTAACGGTCAGCGATATTAAGACCAATTTATATGCACTTTAATTGATCTTCTTTTTAATCCGATCAAAGATAGCACATCTATGCAGGGACTAAGACCTCAAGAGTTTCACGATTGTTTTGTGGGAGTTGTTATTAGGTGTGACAATCATGTCGTGTCGTATTATTGTGGGTTCGTGTCAAGCACTAGTCAACCATAACTCAACCTATTTAAGTAATCGTGTAGTATCGACCAACCTGTTTATTTTTTTGTCGATGTTGTGTTCATATTCGTATAGACCCATTTGAATTTCGAATAAAGAACTTAACGTTAATATTTAAGTTTAAGATTCTATTATCAATTAATTGAATTCATGCTCATAATTTTTTTATAAATTAAAAATTAACTTATTAAATATGACAATAATAATGAATAAAAATATATTTTTTTGGACAATAATTATGACAATACTTAATAAATAATAACAAATAATTAGAAATTTTCTTTTATAATAGGAAAAATTGTGAAAAAGTACACCATTTTATATTTATTTGTATGAAAGTACCTCAATATAAAACATATGTGTATAAGTACTTTTGTGTGTAAATTTTTTCTCTTACGAAATTGTCCTTTTCCTTTATTAATGGGAGACAAATATGACAGTTATATTAGAGATTCAGTTTCCTAAATTTATGAAATAACATTTTTGAATTTTAAATTATATCTTTCTATTTCATTTAACTTAAGTTTTTTCAAACATTCATGTCTTTTCCATATTTGGATAATTTATATTTTTTTTATAAATCGTAATAATCAAGATGATGATTCTGATTCGGAGGATGATTTGCTGCCTCGCACGATAATGTCATAGTGTTACAAGACAATGTCGCACTGATACTAGAAAATATCACAGTGCTACAATGTCGTCCATATGTTTTTTTTTAATTGTTACGGTCTCTTAATGTTAATCATGTTCATGTGAGAATAAATGTCAATGATGATGACTCAAATGAGAATGATCGTAATAATCAAGATGATGATCCTGATTCGGAGGATGATTTGCTGTCTCGTACAATAATGTCACAATGCTACAAGACAATATCACACTAGTACTAGAAAATGTCACATTGTTACAAACCAAATTCACACTGCTACAAACCAATTTCACACTATTGCAAGTCAATGTCACACTGCATATATTGACATGAAGCATATCACAATGTAGATGACATCTTTGGGTTTTTTTTGGCAAATGATCGAACACTTGGTGTGCATGTATTACCAAACACTAGAAGTAGAAAGGTAATTGAGGGAAAAAAAGTAGATAAACTAAAAACGTTGAGAAAAATAACATTTTTCTTAAGTTATCCGCTTCTTTTCCAAAAAATTAACCATTCCCATCCTTCTGCTACAGCCACTCCCATTCGCAGAAAACCATTTTTAATTTTTTGTACTTTCACTCCATTCCTATCAAAACCTATCAAGAGAAAAAACTATCTCCGCCCCAAAATCCTCAATACCATAACATAACCCTCTCCCAAACCCCTCCCCCAATCACCCCCAACAAACTCAATTATTCCTAATGAAACCCCACTTAAACAAAGTCTTAATTTTCCCGCCGACCAATTCTCCAGTGAAGAGCCAAAAGTGCCAAAAAACTTATGACTTTTAGATCTCTGAAATTTTCCAATCCGTCCGAGTTATCGACGACAGTGTTGGTAAATTTTCTAGAACTTCTGTCCTTAAATTCGAGTTGTGGTTGGTTGTTGTCTTTAAGTTGCAGACAAATGTGAAAATTTAGATAGTGAAGTTTCGAAAAGATCATTTCTTCAACAACGATCAACAAGAAGATTTGAAAAATCAAAATAAGGATTTATGGAAGTTTTTGGAAGAATGGAGTTCTGGCGATATTGAAAGGATTTATGTGTAACAGTTGAGATCCCTTAAATTTCGGTTGTGGAAACAAAAATATAAAATCGGTTCTCATTCTACTGAAGAGGGTATATTAGAAATTTGTTAGGGGTTAAGTACTTTTTGACTTATATTTTTAAAGTAATACTTTCTACCCTATAATTTCTAAAAAGGATACCGACCCCCTTAAAACCCTTTATAATATTAGTTAAATTTGTTAACTGAGTCAGTTTCGTATTGTTAGTTTTTGATATTGATCCAACTTATTTATTATTTGTGTTAACAAATCATGTCATTTACAGGTTCGCATTAAAAAATTATTAACCCTAATTCACTAATTTCAAGGCAAATTCGAATTCTTTTTTTATATTATATCATAAATTATCACCTCTAATTATTATTACATGACGTGTATTTTTATTTTTTTTCAGTTTTTAGACGGTTAAAAATAAAAATATTAAAATATGTTAGCTAGTAAATTCGCATCCGCCGCCAAAAACAACGTCAAAGCCACACACACGCACACAGATAAAGCTCTGAGACGCCAGAGATCAGCAAAAACCCTACTTCGAGCCCCCCCATTCGTAAAACCCTAAAGAATGGATCTGATGAGAGAGAACAATGAAGATCACAACTCTGTCAGTACCAGCAACCACAGGCAACAAAGATCAGATTCGAATACGACGACGAAGAACAAGACGAAATCCTAGAAGAAATAGCCACTGAGAGCTCCAACCTCGAGGACGACTCTGCCATGTGCGAGCCCGTCGAGTCCATCATCGGCGCTGACAAGACCAGCGCCGACTATTACTTCGATTCCTACTCTCACTTCGGTATGACGAATCTCTAATTCCTCACTAGTCTCTATTTTCTGTATGTATGTGTTTGTGTATCTAGTTATCGAGCTTTGAAGTAAAAATATTACTTTTTTTTTTTGCTTATTCCAGTTTCTTCAAGAATTAGTGATCGTCAGATTCAAATATCCAAATTGTCGACTTTTTCTATTAGTCCCTTGCGTACCAATTGGATTAATGTCTCTAAAGATTTTTTTTTTCTTTCAACGCACTCTACAAAATTTCGAATTCATCATCACATGTTGCTGTTAACTGCTCAACTTCTCAAAATATTTATAAAAAAGCAAATAGGGAAGTATATATGTGTTGCGTTGTGTGTTGTTAGATTAAAGTTGAACAGAGTATGCAGAATTGTATTTTTGCCAATACTTTGTGAAGTTCGTGACATTAGGTAATTTTCTTCAGAGTCTGATGTTTAACATTACATGGTGCTTCAATTTTTTTTGCTGTTTATTGGTTTTATGTGTGCTCTCATTCTTTTTCAGAACTAACTATTCCCCTTTTTTGTTGGTTTCTTCTTTTGCAGGTATTCATGAAGTAAGTTTACTGCATTTGGTGTAAATCAGTTCAATGTTTCGTGGCTGTGATTGTTCATGTTGATATTTTAGTTCATTTTAGCCCCCTTGCTCGTTCCCTAGTTTTTTTAAGACTTACCCTTCTGATTTTCACCGCATTGCAGGAAATGTTGAAGGATGTAGTAAGGACTAAGACTTACCAAAATGTAATATATAAAAATACCTTTCTTTTCAAGGACAAGGTAGTCCTTGATGTGGGTGCTGGTACAGGAATTTTGTCGCTCTTTTGTGCAAAAGCTGGGGCAAAACATGTTTATGCGGTATGCATTTCACTTTCTCTCTCTGTGGTGCTCGCTTTTGGTGGCAATTGTAATTCCTTTCCACCCTCTTCTTGATTCATAGAGTTTCTTTTTTTCTTCTTCTTGAATTTTGTAATAATGGTCGAGTAGAATTGACATAATTAAGAGATGGTAAAATTGGTGAGCCTAGAAACTAGACATTTTTAGATATTTCATTTTTTGTTCACTCACTTATTCATTGAATAAAGAAAAGATTTATGCAATGCAAGAGCACTGACCTGATGGTTTGATTGATTAAATTTTGTCTTTACACCCGTTAAGCTATATTCACGATTATCAGTCTCTTCTAGGGATTCTGAAATGCTTTTCTCCTCAATATCCTTTTTTAATAAGAAATTTTTTTATTGATTGTATATGATATTAGAAGTGAAGGAGGAAAGAACAAGCATTGATCTTCTTAGTATCTCATTAATGGCAATTGATAAACAATCTCTGTGGGTGTCTTCTTGTTTTTGAGTTGTCATTTATGCTGCACACTATCAACTCATTCCAGATGTGCCTGGTTGCTTGAAAAGATATCCCTAATCTATTTTCCTAGAAAATAGCATTGGTTTTGTGTTAGCTGCTCTAGTTCAGCATACTAGTCTTTGAGAGTTGAATCAGTATTTAAGCTTGATCTGGTGATGATGAATCCCCTATCTACACTAACTCTTGAATCAACTGTTCAACCTTTAAAGAGGTCTAATTGCCTATATCATCATGTCAGTTGAAGTATCTTAAAATCTCTCATGTGCATGAATTCATTGCTTTAACCATGAGCTTTACAATCTCTATATGCCGATGCATGGATAATATCTAGTCTTCTCCGTACAAGGATTGGGAGCTGGTGTATGGTGATTAGTTTATTATCCTTAATTAACAATTAAAACGATTCCTATGATTCTCATTCGGATGGCAAGGGTTTTATCAACCATCATTGTCATGACATAAACTTGTGAACATAACTTTGACTTTTATTTTGTAGTTATTTAGTTAAACTCATCAGTAATCTAATAATATTAGTGCTCAAGAATAATTATGTTGTTGTTAGTTATTTACTATTTCCTTAAGCTTAAATGTATAACCAGAACGCATAAATATTAAAATCGCTCTTTAGGAATGCTCATCCTAATGGTTTGTCCCTTGGTTTATGTATCGAGGTAGGTTGAGTGCTCCAGCATGGCCGACATGGCACAAGAAATTGTTAAGTCAAACGGATTTTCAAATGGTAATGGCCACTGTAACAATAAGTTTGAAGAAATTTGTTTCCTCTTTTGGGTTTACTTCTCAACTGATTCTGCCTTTTGTGTCTCTCTCTTGCTTTTTCACAATTACAGTCATAACAGTTCTGAAGGGAAAGGTTGAAGAAATTGAGCTTCCAGTTGCTCAAGTGGATATAATAATTTCTGAATGGATGGGATATTTTTTGCTGTATGAGAACATGTTAGATACTGTCCTGTATGCTCGTAACAAATGGCTAGTGAGTTGCCTTTCACGTACTCAGATTATGTGGTTATACTCTTGCCTAGATGACACTAATAGCTGTTTATAGTTTATAGCCTTCTGGAATCACAAATCCAAGTCTTTCTATTCTGTGCTAACTTGTGTGTTCTGTTTTCAGGCTAGCAGTGGACTGGTACTACCGGATAAAGCTTCTCTCTATTTGACAGCCATTGAGGATGCAGATTACAAAGAAGACAAAATTGAATGTGAGCTTATTCACCTCCTGCATTTATTGTACTCGATGAATGTTGTTTGCCTCTACACTCACATTCATACACATGGGTATGCACAGTTCTTTTACTCAGATCAGTTGAGTCCTGAAAAGGTTTTGATGAGTTGATGTGCTCTTTTTGTAAAGTTCCTATGCTTTTTTATTGCTTTGATATATTTGCTTTTTCCTTGGAATCTGCATGCAACTGCAGTTTGGAACAATGTATATGGCTTTGACATGAAGTGCATCAGGAAGCAAGCCATGATGGAACCTCTTGTTGATACGGTTGACCAGAATCAGATTGTTACAAATTCCCAGTTACTCAAGGTGGGAGTTATATACCCTTCTAACCTAGTAATATTGTGATTGGAATTTTCTTCTGATTGGCCTCTACATTATTTTTTTTTTAGAAAAAAATTAAACTGTGCTGACATGAGTTGATTTACTTGTACAGACTATGGATATCTCTAAGATGGCTGCTGGGGATGTGTCCTTCACTGCTCCTTTTAAGCTTGTGGCGGAACGTGATGATTACATACATGCTCTTGTAGCCTACTTCGACGTGTCTTTTACTAAGTGCCATAAATTAATGGGCTTCTCTACAGGTTAGTTTGTTTGTCCTTTACCTTCTTCTGTCACTTGTTTATTCTTGTTCAAAATCTTGATTGGGTAAGTTTGTGTAGGGACAAGTTGATGGTTATAGGGTTTTGAAAGGAAAGTCATTTTTCTTGCCGAGACTTTAGACACATCAAATAAATCCCCTTTTTATGCCTAAATTTAGTATTCTAATGTATCAAGTGGCAGTCATCTTGTGAGTTCATATAATGTGTGTTTCAATGGCTGCAGCTGACCCACCACAAAAGGTTGGTCAATTTATCTTTTTCATGTGGGAATTCAGTCTGGTTCAATCTGGATGACGTCCTGTTTTTATATTTATGACAATGTTTTTAATTTAAATACCAGTGTGAAACCCATTGCTTTGTTTGCTCAATTAATTCAGGGGCCAAGTGATTAAATTAATGCATTAAGGACCTGTTTCATGTATATGATCATTACGGTTTACATATATTAAATAATTCAAGTAGCTTTTGGTTAGTATTCTGTGTTGTTGAGCCTAAAAATATAAATATGCAGGGCCAAAATCACGGGCTACACATTGGAAGCAAACGGTTCTGTACCTTGAAGATGTGCTAACTGTATGCGAGGGAGAGGCCATTGTTGGGAGCATGACTGTGGCACCGAACAAAAAGAATCCCCGTGATGTTGACATTATGCTCAAGTATTCATTAAATGGTCGGCGGTGCCTTGCCTCAAGAACTCAATATTACAGAATGCGATAGCTGTTTTGTGGTTACATTATTTTTAAGAGCTCATCGTTGTCAATGTCTCTCTCTGTCTCTTGCTTTCCTTCAATATGGATCTTTGTTCTTATGTTGTTTTTGTGGGGGTCGGGATTGGGGCCTTGCGACATTATTGGAGAACGAATCAAGGAGAAGATTGCATTTTTCAAATTGTAGCATGTGTAACTTATATTTATTTCTCAAAATGTTAGATATAACATTGTAACTATTTCAAATTTACTCTAGTTTAATTCATTGTCCAAGATCTGGTGTCCCTTTTGTTTTTTCTGTAAATGATTTTCATTTTGCTCATGTTTTGGGTCTAGTAAGTTTCAAGTTTTCCAGCTGCTGTTCATAGGTTGCTTCTCTCTCTCTCTCTCTATAACATATACATATACATACATATATATATATATATATATATATATATATATATAATTTAGTTGCTTTGCCACGCCTGAGGCAATGGGAACTGAAATATACATTACTAATGAGTCGTAGTGAACTTTGACACGATATGCTTCCCATGATTTAAGCACTTCATTATTCTACACGATACATTGCTAGTTCTGATTGTCAAACTTCATTTTAATATGGGAGTTCCTGGCCATTGCATGCATCGACCTAGCAACTACAAGATTGGGTTTGAATTTAAGAGAATCATGTGAAGAAATGTTCAGAGTTAAGCTTTGTATTCACTCTACTCCTTCAAGCATCTTCAGTCAAGGTAATTATACTAATTAATGATATTTTATGCTCTTTGTATTTTTGAGTTCAACTTGAGTAAATTATGCCTATACTTACAAACTAATTTATATCTCGAACTCCCACTTACTTTGATCACTTGACTTAATGTTTATCAACTTTTAATATGATTGATAATTTTTAGTATGATTAATTAATTCAATATAAAATCAAGAAAAAAAATGTTTTGAGTATGAATTTAATCTTGTTTAATTTGGGCTATAAATAAGTTGATCGGTATGATAAATTTTGGTAAGAAACAACATGAAACAACAATACTCATTGCTAGCCCAAGTGATTTATTATTATTTTTGGTTCATCATTCAAGGATATTTGAGTTAATATATGCGTATTTTGATTTAATTTTCTCTTTAGTTCAATCAAAAATAGATCATCTATATTGAAATTAGAGTATTCATGAGAATTAAATCTCTCCTGCTTAATCTCAAGATATTTTTAAAATTTGAACTCAAAACATCTAAATTTATAGTTTATTTCTATTACCACTTGAGTTATCTTGGATTAGTGATTTACTATGAATAACCCGTGTTTGAAGGTACGATGAAATATGAATGATTTTGAGAGAGATGTTGATGACTATTAGATGAAGAGTAACACTATTTAGATCTAAAAATTTGACATAATTTGTTGATATATTAATGTAATTTTAGTAGAATTATTGGGTCAACATCAAGTTCTAATATTTGATGGACCCTACAGTTAATTCAAAGATTATAGTGAATTAGATCAGTAAATTAGGTCCTAATAGCATTGCTCTTAGATGAGTCTATTTAAGACTGTCATGAACTTATTAAAATCTGTCATATTTTATATTATAAAATTATAAATATCATTTTAGCAAGAAAGAAAAATTTCCCTACAAGGTGTTTTGCCATTTTAGCAAATACGAGGGGCAGCTAATTAGTTTAGCTCAAAGATATTCATTTCCCTAATGAAACAAACACACGACGCAGAAAAAACAAACCAAGCTTATCCCCTAAAACCCTAAAATTTCTCACTCCCCTCGACTAGGGTTTTGCGCTCATCACCTTCAAATCTCATTCTATTCTCAAATTCGATCGCCAATCCAACGGCTTTATCAGCGATGGACTCCCAAATACGCCTCAACTTCAGTAATTTCCTGGGCCAAAACTACGAACTTGCACTAAACCAATCGATTCAAACCCTCTTAGATTCACTTCATGAACCCAACTTCGATTCCTCTGTTTTTGCCTCAATTTTTCTCGAACTACTGCAATCTAGGATAGACCCACCGCTTGAAACCATCTGGGTTTACTCAGCTTTGACCTTTCTCAATCTTAGTTCACAAAAAGAGCGGTCTTTTGATCGACTTGCAGTTACAAAAGAGTTGTTTCAGTTGATTTCTTCTTGTTCTGTTTCCTCTAGTTCTTCAAAAAGTATTGCGTTAATGGCTCCGGTTTTATGTAATTTGTATAGTGTTATTATTGATTTGAAGGAAAAAGATATGGGTTTTAAGGCCGAGAGAAAAGCTATGAGAAAGATCAAGGCTTTGGTTGATGTGATTCTTGGGTATATTAATGTGTGTTGTGAGGGTTTAAGAGGTGATGGTGATTCGGACAAGTTACAAATGGGTTCAGATAATATGACAATGCCTTTGGAGGATTTGGTTAGTGTTTGGATTGGGGATAGGTTGGTGGAAAAGGGGGTGGAGGGTTTGAGTGTGTTTTTCCCGCTTTTGACTGTTGACATTGTTGAATGGTTGCATAATGGAGAATGCGGAATCAGTGAGCTAGCTGGGGTTGTGATTTTGGAGGCTTTTTTGCTGAAATTGTGGCTGGGAATTTGCGAGGGGGATATGAAAATGGACTTGAAGAATGAATTGAGGACTTGGGCTGTTGGTTCCGTTACTGGTTTTCAAAACATCCACTTCTTCGGTTGGCATTCTCTTTTGCTTTTGCTTGAATATGGTGGATTCATGAAATTGTAATATGGCATTAGGAAACAAGAAAATATGCAAACCAAACTCATACAAAAACAGCAGTATTCAGTGAAAAATAGACTCTTTTTTCTCTGTATGTAGTGTTTATCTGACTTTACTTTTCAGCTTGATTCATATTCAATGTCCTTACATTTAAAATTTTCCTGTGTTCAGAGACCCTGGTGAGGATGCTGCTGGAGCCAACTTTGCCGGTAACCTGCCTATTGGTTAGTAAGCTTTTTACGAATGGTTGAGTTAGTTTTTTTTTTTTTCCATTTGTTCAGTTATTTAGAGCTCCTGTAAAGACAATTTTGCAATCAGAGCTCCCTTAAGTGCAGTTTTGCATTCCTTTGTTTTTCCGTACCATGTTTTTTTTCCTTCTTATAGCTGAGCCCAAAATGTGTGATATGATATTTCTTGTCTTGCTTTTCTTCATAAACCATGGACGGTTGACAAGAAGAGATTGTCCTTTAGATGGTAGGTTGCAATTGAAATCTGCAGGTTTATTTATTGATTTCTTTTTTTCCGATAAGAAGTTTATTGATTTCTGGCCATTGGTTTTTGAAATGTAATAGAATTAGCTGTTTGTTGCAAACTGTTCATTAGCATTGATGGGTTTGATCATCTACTCTTCATTTTTCAAATGGTAAAATCTACTCTTCATTGATAATCTAAGAGCATATAATATCCTGTTTACACGTCTACAGAATTTGGAAGATGAGGTTTTTATGAGAGAAGTTCTGTATGATGCCGTGATATTGGTGGAGTATGCTTTCCTTAATCCTTACATTGTGGATCATTTATCTCCCAAGACCATAAGAAGGCTTGCTATTGCAAGATTGATGGTTACCCATGAAGCCATAGAGTTATTTAGGTAATACGAGGTGGATATCATTGTTGAACAATCCTAATCTAACTGTAATTGCAGAATCTAATCAAACGGTCACCTTTTGCATTGTGACAGGAAACAGGGGCATCAGACAAAAGCTCTCTCTTACACAACTGCGTTCTCTGGTTCTCACTTGCATTCCCAACTAATGAAATGGGTCACAAGTGAGATTGGGATGGAGAGCAAAGACAGTGGACCAAATGGATCTTCTCCCAAGGCCTTTTTAAGTAAGTAGCTCTGGTATTCTTAACCTCTAACCACACCTATACGCAATGAATTGGAGTAGATGGTTATAACTGATAATAGTCTGATACATGCATCTGGTTTGAATCGTTTGATCATCCAGAGTGGTTGGTTCGCCTAGAGAACAAAGGGATAAGATTACTTGATGGCTGCTTGTCAAAACATCGTGCCCAATTAGTACTTGACAATTCAAAAGAAGACTACGGGCAATCAGCATATAAAACAGATGGGAATAAAGCGGATGCTGATCTCCTCTTTTACATAGATAACAAAGGGGAAGAAAAAGATGGGAACGAGGAAGATGAAAAGACGAATATTCCATGAATGCTGCATTTGTTGCTGCTGCCCACACAATACAGTTGACAGAAGATGGTGGAGAAAGAAAACGAAAAGATGGGAGGAGGCTTGAAAAGAAAAAAAAGGTTAAGTTTCTGAAGTATAACCTTTCTGACGATTCTGTTCCATCAGCAAATAAGTCTACCTATGTTAGCAAAGATGGTTCAAACAGTGAGATCGAGGTAGAGAATCCACCAACTGATGAAGATGCGGAATAAGGGCCTTTAATTGAAAGCGACAGTGCTCACAGACGCAATTGTAGACAGTATGTTTGTAATGGTTTCATTTATATAAGTTCTTGAAAAAAATTTCAACGAGTAACGCTATTTGTTGATGTTGTGGCGCAATTTATGATACTGCTGATGATGCCCAGAGAATTCATGCTAGATTGTTGGATTTATATTCTTTCTCTCTCTTTCATTTTGCTTTGTAAAGGATTAAAAAGATGATGAAGGATTTAATCACCTTTGCTCTACCCTTGTAATCCCCCGATTAGACAAGCCTTGTAACCCCTCAATTTGGTATCACTCCAGATCAATCTATGCTAATGCAAGTGGGTATTGATAACAAATCTATCAACTCTATTGCACTCTCTTTTCTAGCTTATTTATAGGCCCAAACTGAGAACCCTTTCTTACCAGCACCAAAAATCACTAATGCTCTCTTTAGTCCGATAGAATGATAGAAATTTAGAGAAATAGATAAAACATTATATTTGGTAAAAAAGGAAAATAAAAATGATGAAAAAGTGGATGGATGAGTTTTGCTTTCAACTCACCAAAATTAATTTCTCAAAAATTGGACAGGATAGGAAGGAAAATAATGTTGGGTAAAAATTTGTTATTTACTTTTTTAACGATTAACTAATTAGTTATTTACAGTAATTTGCTTGATATATGTTAGTGCACATGAGATTAAGTGGGGTGGTGAGCATGTGATATTAATTTGAGTATTAAAAAAATATAAATAAATTGGTGTGTACCTTGATGCTAATTGAACCAAATTTGATGATCAATTCACTACCTTTGTTAGAATAACCGTGGATCTCAATATTACATAATCCGGTGACAACAATGTGTTTGATCAGATTTTCGAGAAAAAATAAATAAATTTCGTCATGGGGACTTTTCATACAATGTGAGTTTCTATTGCCTCCCAATTTTTTTGAGAACGTTTACTTAGTCATGCATTATTAGAATCCAAAAGGAATTTGGAAATAGAGATGTTTTCATTCGGAAAAAAGTGCAAAATGCAGCACAAAATGGTCTATAAAACAACTAATATGATTGATACAGTTTGATCCTCAAACTCAATTGGTAGTAACACTAAGAGTCCTCAAACTACATGTGAAACGAAAAATGTAAAGACTAACATTAACGCAAATTTTAGCATTTACAAATAAATAATAATGTAAGGAAGGTGCGACAAAGCAATGTAAAAAATACGAGTTAAGGCAGAGTCGTTACCTCTTCTACTTGCTTCTACTTCCCATCACTCCCCCTCCCCTCACCTGCCCCACCACCACCACCACCACCACCATCATGATTGACTTTAACGAGGCTTCCCAAGCAGACATCTGCCTCCAAATCAATTTTTTTTTTTGGTCAGAACCTCCAAATCAATTGGTATACCAGGAATCCTAAAGTTTTGTAGAATATCTTTTCTAAAATTTCTTGCACAACTCGATCGAATCATTTGAGTTGTATTTGAGTCGTCGAAATATTGTCAATTGGCCGATACGGTTCTACGATGCCCTAACATGACCTGAATTTCTCATTATATTTAATATTTTATTTTAAGTCGTATTGTCTGGTACTGCGCCCAATGTGTCTTAGAGTTCTTCGAGTTGATAGCTGATACCGCTACCTTGAATTATAGCTTTACGTGAACAATAAAAAATAAAACTACTAAAAAAGAACTAAGACTCTTCATGACTATTAGTAATTGTAATTGTAAAAGTAGTGTGATTCAATTTATCTATTTATTATTTTTTTATTAAATGATGGTATTACATAACAATGACGACATATCACTTCTTTTCCTGCTCTCTCAAACATTCTGATGTGCCTAGCTAATTACCACAATAAGCCCGTATCGATTCTACAAAAAACAATTTTAATATTAAAAATTTAAAAGTGTCAAAAAATTATGTGAATAGAGTAGACAATGAAATTGAGTTATATGTATGGGCTCACACCAATAGAGAGTGCTCAGAGTAATGCAGTACAGGACACGGGATATAGATACAACACCGTACACATATATTTACATGGTAAATCATTATATTCATAATGTATTACGATTCAAAATTCTTGTATAAAGTAATCTAACTTAATTTTTTTATACTATTGGATCATAAAGGACAATGATTACCAATTTCTGATAGACAAAGTGTAGCAAAAATTCACGTAATTCCTCGTCCTCCAAGATCTTTTATTGGTAAAACTTTGGTGTTTTTCTAGCATATTTCACAAAAAACTTTAATATGCCTTGTCTCAATAATCATATAATTTTCCATAGTATACTATAGCTATACATTGAATTCTAAAACTATGTCGACAGACCTAGCTTAAGAAGTATCACACACAGTAAGGGGTCCGGGTGGCGGGGGGGGGTGACCCAACCTGGGAGAAAAATATTTTTTTAACTTGTATATATTTTTGATATTTTTTTAGTTCTATTGAATTCGGGTCCACGCTCAAAAAAAAAAAAAATTTAATTAGGTCCATGCAAAACATATGAAATCTTGAGCTAGAGCCAAACAAATAAGATCGATGTTTTAGCAAAAAGTGATCTTGCTCAAAATAGTTGAGACTGAAAAAGTTTTGTTTATTTACTTGTGATTGAAACGTTGATATTTTCAGCAATAAAAATTATAAAAAGTAGTTTGCATAATTAAATAAGGGATCAATAGATAACATATAATTATTTATATAAAAAAAATTTAATGACATTGATAATAAAGTTATGTTTTCAAATTAAAAAAAACTCGTCATGATCAATTAAAAATAACTATAAATAGCCCTTTTTTTTTGTAAAGAATTATAATTAACCCCCTTTTTCTTATTTGCATAGTCTATCTATACAAATCTTTTGAGCTTTTTGTATTCAACAATCTTTTACCGAACAAATATGATGTTTAAAATATAAATATATCACATTCTTTTTATTTATTGGATGAAAAAAAATTAAATTTTGTCGTTAAAGTGTGCCCACCCTAGAAAAAATTCTTGGCTCTGTACCTATACGTCAAAAAGGGTTGGACAGGTGACCAAAATTAATATTTTCACGCACATGCCTAAAATCTAACCTGCACATGAGAGACTTGAAGTATCAATACTTTCGTTATATCATTCTCTAACAGTTTTACCTTAGATTACAATACTTCACCTACTTTGTTTTCTTCACTAGAAAACACAAGCAAAAGAAACATCATAGATACTACTAAATAAGCAATCTTTAAACTTCCTTCTTCCCCCCTGCTTGTCTCAAACTTCGCAATACGCCCAAGTATAACCACATCAAGCCAGCGTCGATCCTGCAAGGCACAAAAGTTTTTAGGTAGAATTACACTCAAACCCCTTGAAGTTTATCACTTCATCACTCAAATCTCTTGATATTTAAAATATTATAGATAGACCCCCTAAAGTTTGTAAATCCCTGTAATTAATGTTTGCTAATAAATTATACTCAAACCCCTTAAAATTTATAAATATATAATACTAAGACCCTTTAAGTTTTAAAATATTACAGTTAAACAAAAAATACTCTAATCAAAAATAAAATATAAAATATTTTAAATTTTACGATCAAATTCATGTTTTATTATATCATTTATTGAAATAAAATCAAAAATAAAAATTTAATTTTTTCTTAAAAAATCGCAACTAATATAAAATTATACTATTGATCGAAATAAAACTAAAAAATAAAACAACCAAATTAAACCTGTGTTTATTACAGTTTAGCCACTTGTTTAATTTGTTAGTTTTATTTTAATAAATAGTATAATTGTGTACTAATTATAATTTTTTCACAAAAAATTAGATTTTTATTTTTAATTTTATTTTAATAAATGACATAATAAAACATAAATTTTAATTATAAAATTTAAAATATTTGATATTCTATCTTTGATTGAAATATTTTTTGGTTTAAGTATAACATTTTAAACTCAACGTGTTTTTAAATATTACATGCCTACAAATTTTAAGAGATATGAGTATAATTTACTAATGGATATACTAACTGACATTAATGGCAGAGGTCTAAATGTTATGAGCGTACAAAGCCACCCATCTAATATATGATATGTATTTGAGTTATAAATTTTAAGGTTTCATTTGTGTTAGGTAACATAATCTTTAAAATCAGGCTGGGGCATCAACTTGAATAACCAAATTTTCACTATTTACAACTCTAAAAGACAGTAGTATAGACAGGAAATCAGCATAACTGCAAAATATAGCCAGGCCACACAGAAGAAACTTCACCACCAACAATTACAAGTTTATGGAAATATTTATAACTTACTGTCCAGCTTCTCATTCTTATGCTGCTGCTGCTGCTGCTGCTGCTTTGAAGTTGTTTAAAGCACCAGCTCTAACCGCTTCAAAAGGAAATGGTCTATAGGAAAAGAAAACCCAACACCGAAACAGAGAGTATTCGAAGATTTCATGGATCCACGCAAATCTACAATTAAAAACTCAACCCAATGCATATCCCAACTATTTGAGATTGGTTGTATGAACCAACGTGGGAAACATATTTTTCTACATTGAGAGAACAATCTTCAAAATAACAATTGCATTAATCAGCTTGTCATGTTAACTTTATCCTTTTTACTAATAAAAAAATATGCTACTTCTCATGACGTCCATTTCATTTAGTTTTTTTTGTGGGATGCAAATGAGTTCTAAAGCTGCACTTAAATCAAAGCAGTAGTCATTTGCAAACGGAAGTCCAATAGAAGGGTTACTTGAAATCCACTTCTTCATGTTCTTTCTACAATAAAACACAAGACTGTTTTTTCACCCACTCCAAATAAATAGGAATATATGTAGCTCTTTAACTTGCAACTTTAAAAACATCTAAGAATCTCTAATTCAAATTTGAAAATGAGTAAATTCTTACCCAAATACACAGAAATATCCCTTCAAAGGTAGGTCAAATGCTTATATACACTCAAACCAGATAATTGGCAACCAAATGAAATGTTCCATATGACACCCCCCCCCCCTCTCTCTCTCTCTAAAAAATCCAACATGGAAACTGACATTGAAGTATGCAGCAACTAGCAATCTGGTTCGAATATTTCATTGGAGAAAGCTGTCTTTCCAAATAACTAACACGTTTATCTATTTTCAATGTCACTTTTATCCTCAGTTGCTCATAAATATATATCGCGATTCTGGAAAACTATGCGATTCTAAGTGCTTCTCATAAAGTTTCCTCCAAACATTCAATAATATTTGTATGTCAATGAATGTTTTTATTTTTGAAATATTCTGTTGAAAAAACCCAGTGATCAGATAAATTCTGATTTGGACCACAAAGGTTCAGTAGAAATTTATGAATCAAAAGCCACGCTGAGATAACCAGCAGCTATTAGTAGATAGTAAATTTGAATCCACCTAAAGCATTTTCACATTGCCTAATCCAAAAGCCTTGATCAAAGAAATGCTGGCCAACCACAAATTTTCACAGCATCACACAATTTGGACATATCGTACCTAAAACATTTAGCAACAAAAAAAAAACTGTAGTTCTCTTGAATAGGTTTCACACCAAGCAAAAAAAGTGGAAATACTTTGAACCATGCAAATATTGAACAAATTTATAAAGGGAAATAAGGTGCAACTATGCTACAAGTGAAATAGGATCTTTTAAGGCTTCAAGAAACCATAATGCCCATGGTTTTGAATGTGTTTTCTTGAATAGTAACGATTATGATGAATATTTTCAAAACTTGATTTATTTTATTTCTTTACCAAGAGATTGAATGTGTTTTCCTGACTAGAAATGGATATGAGGAATATTTGCAAACCTTGACCTATTGTATTTCTTTACCAAGAGAAGAAAACAAATGAAAAGAAAATCGGATTTTACAAGAAGCAGTCTGTAATCTTATTCTTTCTTTTGGTTTTCAAAACTCTATTTTACCCAAACACTCTCACAACTGTAAGCAAGTAATGGAAAACAGAAACACAAGGCACAAACGCTCAAATACTAGTCATCCCTCCGGCATCAATGAAAATAACTTAAACTAGCTAATATGGCCAAGTCAGATATGTAGAAATGAATATTATAAAGGACAAATTCAAAAGGACAAAATGAGTTTTGTTACCTTATCTCTTCAGCTTCTCATTTTTACACAGCCCCAGTTGCTTAAAGCGCCAGATTAAAGCCCTCCAACAGGAAATCGTCTCTAAAAAAACAAAAGCCAATATCATGTGATACAAAGGTGAATAAAACAAGCCGCAATTCAACCCTCAACTTTTGCAATGTGTATTGCCAAAAGAATGATATGTCGTTTAAAGAATTAAAAGTATGTCTACAACAAAAATGGCAAGCAAGGTAAAAGTAAAGCACTATAAAAATATGAGCTACAGCAGAGGCGACACAATGACTTAAAAGTGTTTTACCTTTTCTTTAGATCATTCTTTTTCTTCCTTTTCTTCTTGCCGCTTCTTCCCATTACTTTCCCCACCACGACTATTAAGTTGAACAAGGCTTCCCAGACATACATCTAGTTCAAAATATGCAGGCACGCTACGAACCTTAACATTCTTCATCGTCTTCTTATCAAGGTCATACCAAATAAGCCTTGTATTGTCTTGATCCAAAAGTACTTGCACACCACTCTATGAATATGCAATCGACCTAAAAAACTCGAAAGATTCCTTCACCCCATAATCCTTCATCACCCATACATCAATATGGTGTGGATAATAATTGCAAAGCAAACACAAGCATCCTCCCAATACCTCCACATTCATATGAAAATTTTTATCCGCATATTCTGGCTGGGGCACCAACCGATACTCCTCAGTTCCAACATCAAAGGCAGAAATCAAATTTGTAATATCAGACTTCGGTTTCCTACTCACAACCCAATGAAAAGCACCGTAAGCAAACTTACCGCGATCCCTCTTGTATCGAAGGTAATATGGAAAATCCCGAATCTTTCGCCATGAATTCAATTTCAAACTATAGACCTTAACTTCAGAACCAAAAGAATCATCCTCACAAGCTTGTAATCATCATGAACAAAATCATACCCAAAACCATAGTTAATATACTGGCAACACCAAAAATCCTTAGAGAACTCGATTGGTGCAATGGGTAATTTCCAAGACTTTCGGGTCTTTAAATTCCACAAAACAATGTCTTCCTCTGTGTTAGATAAACAGAGCAAGCCATTACAAGAACCCAATACCTCAGTTCCAAATTCATCACACTTTAATGGATGGTTGAGTTCTTTGGCAGTAGCAACGTTATCAAGTGAATCAAAGTCTACAGAGTATGGTGGGGAGTCACGGAGAATTAGGTTGAGATTTGAGTTTGTTTCAATCGATTGGTTTACATGCATTTTGATGAAATTAGGATTGTCTATTAGAGAACACCATGGTTTTGATACACACCTGAATCGAAGGAGGGACTCCACCGGTAAGCGTGAAAGTATGTTGTGAGTATTTCTTCAGGAACGTCCGACATTGTTGGCTGGTCAAGAAGAATAAGCCATGGGTGCGCGAGATGTTGGTATAAATAGGAGAATCATACTTTGTATCCGGGTCCGGCTCTTCTACGGTAAGAAGTCAACCGCTTGACGTGCGCTTCAGTGGAACGGCGTCGTTTTATTATTTTTTTTAATTTGTTTTATTGATCTTTATCAAAACGACGTCGTTTTGGTCTGACTAATTCCACCCTTAAAGATCTGCACCCCTCTTCTTCGTTAAACTTCAACAGAGCCTTGCGACACCAGCAGTTTCGGCGATTTGAACCCCTCTTTCGCCGATTTCAAGCAACTCTCAATTGAATTCCATTTAGGATTTCGTGATTTGATAAAGATATCGGAGGGATAAGTTCAGGTGCGACTTCAACAAAGGGTGGGTGAGGAAAGCCAAAGGCCTCGAAGTCTGTGTCCAGGTCTCAGAAGGCTGGTCTACAGTTCCTAGTGGGTAGGATTGCTAGGTTCTTGAAGGCTTGCAAGAATGCCGAGCGTGTTGGTGCCGGAGCTCCGGTCTATCTCTCTGTTGTCCTTGAATACCTCGCTGCTGAGGTATAAACTACTTCCCATTTCATCCCATTTTCTTATTTTCATTCCGATATGTGTGTGCGCTCGACAATCAGAATTAGGGATTGTTATGGTTGATTGTAATTTCTTGCTAATTTGTTGTTTTTCAAGACGGGTTCATTTTCTTGGAGACGTTTGAAGTTCTCCATGCTACAATTTCATTTTTTATATCTGAGCTTTTAAGATTTTTCTGTCTTACGTTTCATAATATTGAATGGTGATGGATTTAATTTATGTTTTTACTGTATTGTTTTCCAATTGCATCACATTTTCATGTTACATTTGGTTGTAATCGCTTGCAAATTTGTTATTTTTTTTCAAATGTTTTTTTTCTTGGGATTCAGGTATTGGAGTTGGCTGGGAATGTAGCAAGGGATAACACGAAGAATCACATAGTGCCAAGGCACATTCAGCTTACAGTGAGGAATGATGAGGAGCTTAGTAGGCTTTTGTGTGGATTCCATTTTCCAAATTAGTTGCCTTAGAAAATTTGTAATTTGTCTAGGTGAGAAAATGCTATTGTTTAGTGCCACAGTGTGATTATTATTGTAATTAAAACATTGAATTTTTTTTTTGGAATTTTGATATGTATGGTTAATTTGGAACTTTAGAAATTGCAATAGCCCTTTAATTCATTCAGCACAAACAATATATTCTTTTTTTTTTTTTAGAAAAAGAAATTTTATTCCATGAAACAATGAATTACAAGAAGAAAATGAATTCAAAAATTCTAATTACAAAGAGTTGGCTTTAATCCTTCAAATGGATTAAAACCAGAAATCTATCAAGCACAGTCCAGCTACCCAGCCAAAAAAACAGCCCATGGCCTAACACACCATAGACTGCCTACAAACAGAACCCAAAACTTGGACTTGCTATTCCTCCAGCTGCAGAGTGAACTTCTCTTTACTGTGCTCTGTATCTCATAGCTTAGCTCCTGCTCCTTTGCTCGCAGCTCAGCTCTCAGCAACAATCTGCCAGAATAGTATAGAGCTACTGAAATAGAACAGACCAGCAAATCAAACCAACAACCAAGCATAAAGTCCACAACAACCCTCTAGCATCAATACCCCAACAGTTATCTTCAAAAACCATCTTAGCAGAAAAGTCATAAAATTATCAGTTTACAGACCAGCTACCCCTGATTTGCAAACTTGACAGTACTGCACCTCCAGCTGTTGATAATTCATTACAAACAATATGTTCAATATAATGATATTCAGCACAACATAAGCATTCAAAAAAGAGAGCAGCAAACATAGCTTTGTCCAAAACATATGGAATCGATTACATGAATTAGGTTATACCATTGTGGATAAGAGGTACTTGCATATTAACTCAAGTATCCCAACTGTTTTAAGATCATAGAATACTTATTAAAAGCATCAAGGAATATGCTAGCATCACTTGAAGCAAAAATCAAATAGGAATATGTTCTCAATGTTGTCAACTTGAAGGGAATGCTCAGAAGGGCATTTTCAAGCTAAATTACATCTGGTGCTTCATAACAAAGCAGTGACAGAGCTTATAATTTAATTCACCCCATTTAGACCAAACAAACCAAGATATTGATCATCAATTAACGAAACGTGACTCAGCCCCCATTAATACTCAATTTCTTAATTTTTTGAGATGGTTTACAAGAATGGAATTCATACTCATAAACGTATACAACATACTACAAATTATGTACAATAATTCTATATGGGACTCAAGCATTGGAAGCCAAAGGTAGCAACTGATCAAGATAGAACTGCTTGAACCAAATCCTTTTTGGCATTTTTCAAACAGGTGGAGGGTGGGAAGGAGTGTGTGAGAGATTTGCTTGAAGGAGAAAGAGGGAGCCAATTTCAACATCCAATGCTCATGGAATTAAACCAACGCCAATGAGGGGTGCAGATTGAAAAAAAAAGAGGGGTGCAGGTTGAAAATGAACCTGTCTCAAAAAACAACAAATTAGCAAGAAATTACAATCAACCATAACAAATCCTCAATTCTGATTGATGGCGCACACATATCGAAATGAAAACAAGAAAATGGGAAGTAGTTTATACCTCAACAACTAGGTATTCAAGGACGACAGAGAGGTAGATTGGAGCTCCGGCACCGACACACTTGGCATACTTCCCAGCCTTCAAGAACCTAGCAATCCTACCCACTAGGAACTGTAGACCAGCCTTCTGAGACCTCGACACAGACTTCGAGGCCTTCGACTTTCCTCCCCCACCCTTTGTTGAAGTCGCACTTGAACTCATCCCTCCGATCTTTATCAAATCACGAAACCCTAAATGGAATTCAATTGAGAGTTGCCTGTAATCACCAGAAGAGGGGTGCAGATCGCCGGAGTTGCTGATGTCACAAGGCTCTGTAGAAGTCTAACGAAGAAGAGGGGTACAAATCTTCAAGGCTGGAATTAGCTGGACCAAAACGACGTCATTTTGGTAAGGATCAATAAAAAAAAATTACAAAAAGCAGTGAAACGACGCCGTTCCACTTAACCGCATGCTAGGCAGTTACCTTTTTACCGTAGAGGAGCTAGACCCTTTGTATCCTCCCAAAAAGTAGGGTTTGGCTCCTCTGCTGTTGGCGGTCTAACAGTACAGCGTGCCGTTAAGAGCAACGACACCGTTTTGGCCAAAATACTCTGTCCAACAAACAAACCCGCAACGTTGTCGTTTAACTCGAAAATCTTTGAACCCACAATGACTTTGTTTGCCCACCATGTCTTAAGCGACATGCACAGTCCCTTCATCAATGTTGCCCACCATGTCTTCCTTAAGCAACATGGACAGCCCTTGATCAATGTAAATCACTCCCGACCAAACCACGAAAAACCCGTCTGCTCGAAGTTTGTAAATACCAACTAAAATTTCAAGTTCTAATTGCTCTCTCTTTTTGTATCTCTGTAACGACTGATTGGAACTTCGCCTTCCTCTCCTATTAATCTTGAAGTTATTTCAATTTTTTTTTAAAATTTAGACTCTACAGAGCTTTTTTGGGTAATCTGTTGACCCAACCATCTTCGAGGAATCAATCCCTCAAATCGAAGCCTTAACATCAATGTAAGTTTTGAAATTCAAGATTATTTTCGAGTAATCATTCCCCAAAATTTGATTATATAACCTAAATGTTCTTCATGAGTAATTATATTGGTAAATTCTGCGAGTGATTATATAACCTAAACCTTTGTCATGAGTGATTATATTGGTAAATTCAAATACCAAAACTCATCTTCCCAAAACTCATGTACTGCTGGAATTTTCGGTGTCAACTTATACTATCATTTTAAATTTTGTTTGTAGTGTCAAAGAATGACATAATCAAGCACAAGAGAAAGTAATGGATGTCTATTTTCTCATAATAAGAGATGTGGATCTGGGCGACGAGCAGCTGTAGAAATTTTAGAATTGAAAGATAATCCAAGAAAACTATATTACAATTGTCCAATTGGCGAATGTGGCTTATTTGCATGGTTGAAGCTAATGAAGTACGATGAGTTGAAGCGAATGAAGCTAATGAAGTATGAAGTGTTGAAGCTAATGAATCACGAAGAGTTAAACAAGTTACAAATGAAAGCTGACTTCAACGTCTCGAGTTGCTACTATTTGAAAACATATTGCTATCATTATTTATTTTACTAGTGTCGGTTTTGATTGTAATGCTAAAATGATGTAATTTGTTTGTAACAAGTTGATTATGAATGAACTTGATGATGATGTATGGAAATAGTTGGTTTTGCTTTATGGAACTAGTTACAAAAGAATGAATGTGTATTGGTTGGTTGAAAATGATGTATTGATGTATTGGTTGAAGATGGTTTATGACATGAGTGAATGTGTATTGGTTGGTTGAACATGGTGCTTTGTTGTATTGGTTGAAGATGGTTCAGGACATGAATGAATGTGTATTGGTTGTTTGAACATTGTGCATGGTACATAACAAAAATTGTACTTATCCAAGATAACAACTACACATTGAACACCATGAATTCTACATAACAAAAATTGCACTTGTCCAATATAACAACTACACATTGAACACTATGAATCCTACATAACAAAAATTGCATTTGTCCAATATAACAACTACATATTGAATGCCCAACTTCTTTGTTTCATTGTCCACCTCAATTTTCCTCATTAGAATAATTAACGACGTTGTCCAAGAAGCATGATTCAACATCAACCCGAACATTTTGTGAAGTAATTGATGCTTGAGAAGACATGCTTGAGAATGGATTTGAGTGACTATAAGTTGTTGCCCATGAGTAAGTAAATCCATTCATTTGTGACTTTGCTCATCAGATTGAGATATCTTCAAAACAAGCATTCAAAGACGTAAGATACAATTAAGAAAAATAAGAATCTAAAATATCATAACCATAATATTGGGGTTGTAATACCTAAGACTTATAGGAAGTTCTAGTTTTCCTCTTCGTTGGCTTCTCATGTCAAGGCTTCAATCGACCCAATCCTTGTAATCACCATCTTTCTTCTGCAAGCCAGTTACTCATAAAATGTTAGGGTTAACATTTTTCTACTCCTTTAGAGAGAGAGAGAGAGAGATTTTCTGCTCCTTCATCACCGTCGCTATCCTCCTCACCACCAAGTGATGTATACATAAAATCCACTTGTTTGAATAACTCATCAATACCGCGATTCATCAACTGGTGTGCAGACTTAAAGTTAGAACAACGAACTGCTAAATGTACCATTCTAGGACATAGCTGTATGTAACGTGATGTTGCCATCAACTTGGGATCCTCCTCATTTAGTGTGACACTGGAATGAGGACTTGATCATTTTCTTGTATCTCGCCTCCATCTCTGTATTATGTATTGGTCAAGAATTTGCTTAATGTTCATCATGTCTAGCACTTTAAGTGCACGATCACATAATATCCCAATCATTTCAAATTTTTGACAGTTACAAAAAAGGTCTGCTCATTGACATAATGACATTAATCAACACCATATACTTTCTCTCTTTATCATATAATTCCACCACAAATTGATGACATCTATCGAACACATTACAAGGATTAGCAATAGCACATTGAAATACATCATATTCATCTTGAAATAAATCAAAAACAGAATGAGTGTAACATTGCGCTGCTTGCACCAACATAAGAGCTCTTTTCAACTTCATTCTAGGCAACTTTTGCCTACCTTGATATTCCTTCTCCGTCTCCTTATATCTCCTATTATTTAAAATCCTGCCAAAATGAGTAAAAAAGCGAAAAATATCATGATCTGCCTTTAAGTACTTTCATAATGCCAAGTTCAAGCTCTCATTGTGCTCCTCATACTGGTTATGAAAGTCTGCTTCATATACACATGTGCACATTTATCTCTTAGTGCCCAAGTTGAATTCATCAAATTGTTATCGTGCAAATCATAGTCATCAAAAATATTTATTATGCGCTCTTCGACATCCAATTGGACTACATAATAAAATGATGGATTCTTAGTTGCTTTTGTTTGAAAATATTGCAACAAACTACCCACTTCACTGTATTTCAAGTCTCATTGCCTCCTTTCTTGAATGTAATTTTTTTGGTCTTGATGAGTAAACCCTAAGCTTGCCCTCCCACATGCTTGGGTACTCAAAAGCTCGTAGGATGTGTTAAGTGATATCCCACAATCTTCAACAATATTAACATTGATGCCTTGAGTAGGGGTGTTCATCCTACCCTACGGGTAGAAAATTTAGTCTTTCGCATTCCTACCCGATACTTTGCAGAAGAATTTTTTCTTACCCTACCCTACCCGATCAGGTGTAGTATTCCTACCCAACTTCCTACCCGATTAATCGGGTAGGAAGTTGGATAAATACTTTTGTAGCTATTAATTTTTGAATCATTTTAACAATTTAATTAAATAACATGTACCATGTTAACAACACAATAAATCAATAATATTAAAATCTAAAACAATTACAACAACAATTATAATTGTTTTAGCCATCAATCCACCATAATTGTTACAAATACAATCCACCATAATTGTTACACAAATACAATCCACCATAATTGGTACACAAACATAAATACATTAAAATCATAACTACTTCGCCTGTGACAGTTTACCAGTTCACCACAAATCATGTAACCAACACAAAAAATAAATTAATATTTTAGCAACTCAAACATCTACAACAATAACAAATACTCTTATAATTACTAAAAAAAGTATAAAAAAGTTAAATAGCACATTTTTTGCTAGTGTCATTCACCTCTCTTCACTCAAGAGAAATTGAAATTGTCTCTGCAGTTATTTCTGAGATAAAAAAGAGTATGAAAAAAAATTAGATACGAAGAACTTATCAACAAATAATAAAAAAATAACAATAAAAGTATAAAAACCTGAATCTAGTTTATAGCTTTCTGAATCATCCAAAACATCTTCAAAGTCATAAGCAATGGATGACGATTGAAACCAATTTTGTGCACATATGAGACCCTCAACTGTTTTGGGTGCCAGACAACTCTGAAAAGGATCTAAAATACGACCCCCAATGCTAAAAGTTGATTCTGATGCCACCATAGAAATGAGAATAACTAACACATCACGAGCTATTTTGGCAGGGATTGAGAATTTAGAAGAATTAACCTTCCACCAATTCAAAATATCAAAATTGGCGCTAACAAATTCAACATCCTCCATCAAATATCGATCCAACTCTGATTTGTTGTTCACATTACCTTTCTTAGCCCTATACTTGCGGTACCTATTCATGAAATTTGTAGGTACTTGATCTTGAATAGACATCTCAGCCGAAGACACATTTTTCTCATGGTCAACACTTGACCCCACTCCATACCCCACACTAAATGTAGTGTACTGTTGGCATAATCGGTCAATGACCCTTTTGATCTTTTTAACTAATTGAACCTTAGCTACTTCATCCCTAGCCTTGTAATTGTCATTGAGCCAAAATTCTAAAGCATCCAATTTATAACGTGGGTCAAGGACAATAGCAACAAACAACATCAAATTAATATTTTCTAAATGACTCCAATACTTATCATACTTGCTTTTCATTCTCATAGCCATGGTACCCAAAAGATAGTCATCATCTTCACAATAACCTTGCAAATGATCATACACAATAGAAAGTTCTTGAAAAAATAAGTTAGATATGGTATACAATGATCCAGAAATGCGCAAAGTGACTTCATAGAAAAGTTTCAAAAACTTCATAAACACACGAACGATGTCCCAATCATCAAATGTAGGTGGCCCTAAACCACCCCCCTTACTCAATTGACTTACAAATTGCCCATCATCTTCTTGCAACAAATCAAATGCACCTTGGTACTGTTCAACAATTTTGAGCATCAAATATGTAGAGTTCTATATCGTTGGAACATCAAGACAAAGAAGACCTTTTTCACCAATTTTTTGTCTCTCAACACATGATTTAAACTTGTCAAGCCTTGAAGGAGAAGACTTCACATATTTAACAGCATTTCGTACCTTCAAAATTGATGTATTCACTTCCTTCAAACCCTCCATGACAATTAGATTCAAAATGTGTGCACAACACCTAACATGCATAAATTCATTTTCTAAGATAGTGCTCTTCCCATCCTTAGTTCGCCTCTTTAAATAATCAAGAGCACCATCATTAGAAGTAGCATTATCCACTGTAACAGTAAATATGCTATCTATCCCCCACCCAAGCATGCATGCTTCAATTTTTCTTCCAATTGTCACACCCTTATGATTAGGAACTTTCAAAAATTGAT